GCACGGTTGCTGTAGCAGCCTTCCTGAGAAGGCACAGGATCCAGGTGTCCCCTTACCTCAATGACTGTCTAATCAGGGGATCATCCAGGGACAAAGCAGCCACATAGACTTTGTCAAAGCACTGTTTCACAGACTGGGTCTCCTCATAAACAAGAAGAAGTCCACACTCAACTGAACACGAACTATAGACTTTGTAGGGACTTGCCTAGACTCCATAATGGCAAAAGCATCCCTCCCCAGGGCCAAGTTTTTAAGCATCAGGACAATAATAGAAGACCTCAGGGCATTGCCCCTTACAATGGCATGAAACTTCTAGGCCACTGGGCAGCCTGCACCTTCATGGTCCAGCATGCCAGTCTGTGGCTTTGACCCCTTCAGGCACGGCTGACAACTGTACACAACCCAACATGAGCACCTCTGGATGCAATAGTCATGGTACCAGAGGAGTTTCTCCAGTCTCTAGACTGGTGGTTACAGGAACAGGTCGTGTGCCATGGTGTCCCGTTTGCCAGACAGACCCCGTCAGTACAGCTGGTAACTGACGTGTTGGACACGGAATGGGGAGCTCGCCTGTTGAACCTCAGAACTCAAGATATGTGGTCTCCCAACGAGGACTCTCTCCACATAAATGTCAGAGCGCTCAAGGCTGTCCGGAAGGCCTGCCTGGTGTTCCTACCTCACTTGAAGAACAAGGTAGCATCTGTGGTGCCAGACAACACCACAACCATGCACTATATCAACAAACAGTGTGGGGCTCATTCTTCTCCCCTGTGCAAGGAAGCCCTACATCTATGGGACCTGTGTATTGCACATGGGATCCACCCGGCAGCATCTCACCTACCAGGGGACCACAACATTTTGGCAGACAAGCTCAGCAGGTCGTTCAGGGCCCATGAGTGGTCCATCAGGATGGACTTCTTAGATATCATTTTTCAGAGGTGGGGTTATCCCCTTTTTGACCTGTTCGCTTCCCAGGGAAACTTCAAGTGTCTGAGCTACTGCTCGTATCTGGGGCAGGGGCAGGAGTCACTAGGGGATGTGCTACTAGAACAGTGGCTCTCCCACCTTTTCTACACGTTCCCTCCCTTCTCCCCCCAGGACAAGGGCCTCCTGATGATCAGGAGGGCTGTGTCTAGACTGGCAAGTTTTTCCGCAAAATCATCTGCTTTTGCGGAAAAACTTGCCAGCTGTCTACACTGGCCGCTTGAATTTCCGGAAAAGCACTGACAATCTCATGTAAGATCGTCAGTGCTTTTCTGGAAATACTATGCTGCTCCCGTTCAGGCAAAAGTCTTTTTCTGAAAGACTTTTGCGCAAAAGGGCCAGTGTAGACAGTACAGTACTGTTTTCCGCAAAAAAGCCCCGATCGCGAAAATGGCGATCGGGGCTTTTTTGTGAAAAACCGTGTCTAGCACTCGAAGAAGAAGATATGGTTACTTACCTCGTAACTGTTGTTCTTCGAGATGTGTTGCTCATGTCCATGCCACATCCCACCCACCTCCCCTTCGTCGGAAGACTCTGGCATGAAGGAACGGAGGGGGTACAGGGCCAGCGGGGGTATATATGCATCAATATGGTGGTGCCCCTCCAGGGACTCCCTGGCTGGCCCAACGAATACTGCTAAGGGAAAATATTCCGGAATCCATGCACGCAGTGTGCACACACCTAACTGGAATGGACACGAGCAACACATCTCGGAGAACAACAGTTCCAAGGTAAGTAACCGTTTTTTCCTACCCCTAGAGCCACAGCATCCTACTAGTCATTACAGTGCCAGGGTAATTGATTCTTTCTTCTGTTCTGCACTTCCGAGGATTTGAAGGAGAGCCTTGCATCTCGGCCAATCATTTTAGGTGACAAATCTGAGGAACTGCCCCAGACTGAAGCATCAGTAGAGGTGGTTGTGTAACAAATTGATAAATGAAACAGTAACCAATCACCAGGGCCAGGTGGTATCATCCAAAGGTTGAGAAGGAACTCAAATGTGAAATTGCAGAATTACCAGCTGTGGTTTATAACCTACTGCTTATATCAGCCTATGGACCAAGTGACTGGAGGGTGGCTAGTGTGATACCCATTAAAAAAAAGGCTCCAGAAGTGAGCCTGGCAATTGCAGGCCAATAAACCTAACTTCAGTGCCAGGCAAAGCTGGTCAAAATGATAGGAAAGAGCAGAATTATTAGTGAACACCAGGGAACATGATTTGCTGGAACAGAGTCAAGACAGCTTCTGTAAAGGCAAATCATGGCTCAGCAATCTATTCGAATACTTCCAGCAGGTCAATAGCCATGTGGGCAGTACTGATGCACTGCATAGACTGTGCCTGGTCTTTCAGAAGGCTTTTGACATGGTCCCCCACCAAAGGCTTTTAAGCAAAATAAGGACGCGTGAGCGAAGAGAGACGGTCAGTAACAGGTAGGTTGCTGGAATAGGAAATAAAGGAATAAATGGTCAGTTTCACAGTGTCCCCCAGGAATCTGTACCGCAGACAGTGCTGTTCAACATGTTCTTAAATGATCTGGAAAAAAGTGTAAACAGATGATACAAAATAACTCAAGATAGTTAAAACCAAAGCGTTATAAAGGGAACTCACCAAATTGGGTGACCGGGCCACAAAGTAGCAGATGAAATTCAGTACTGATAAATACAAAGTATTGTGCATTGGAAAATGTCCCCATTTTAAAATAGGGCTATTAGAACTCGAAAAGCTACAGAGAAGAGCAACAAAACCGATTAAGGGGTGGAACAACTTCCCTATGAGGAGAGATTAAAAAGACTGGGACTAGGGATGTTAAACATCGAGAAATTGACTTTTTGATGAATTGATAGGGCGCCTCCACCTTTGGCAATAGGACGAAAGCACCTCATGGAGCCAGGAGTCAGCTGGGGACTCACCCGCTGACCCCCGGCTCCACACGGCTCTGCTGCTTTGAAATACTGTGAGGAGCCTGACACTGGGTTCCCCACAGCATTTCAAAGCGGCAGCGTCGCATGGAGCCCAGGGTCAGTGGGGGAGTGTCCAGCTGGTCCTAGGCTCCATGTGGTGCTGCTGCTTTGAAACGCCACATGCTGCCTTGGGACACCCTTACTGGCCCCGGGCTGCATGCAGCATTTCAAAGCGGCAGCGTCGCATGGAGCCTAGGGTCAGCGGGGGAGTGCCCAGCTGGTCCTAGGCTCCATATGGTGCTGCCGCTTTGAAACGCCACATGCTGCCTTGGGACACCCTTACTGGCCCCGGGCTGCATGCAGCATTTCAAAGCAGCAGCACTGTGTGGAGCCTGAGGTCTGGCGCTTTGAAGTACCCCCACCACGCCCCCTCACCCCACTGCCTCTTTCTGATAGAGGCAGCAAGGGGGAGAGAAGTGACTAGTCGGCTAGTCATTCACATCCCCAACTGGGACTGTTAGAAAAGAGACAACTAAGAGGGGATATCGGAGAGGGCTACACAGTCACGACGAGCGAGGGGGTCACCAAATGAAATGAAGAGGCACTTGAAAATTGCCCTTTTCTGTTCGTTCTCACTGAAGCATCTGGCACTGGCCACTGTTGGCAGGCAGGATACGGGGCTGGCTGGATCAGTTATCTGATCTGGCCATTCTCCTGGATAATGTAAACGAGGGTTGGAAAAGAAAGGAGGAAAAACGAATCTTGCTCGTTGGGACACATACTATGTGACTGCAGCCTGAGACGCGCTCTGTGATCAGTTCATTTGCCACTGACACACAGACGCCTCGGGGGCGGAATGCAAATGCTGATTAAAACCATGCAGCACCAGCGGGTAACAGTTTGTCATAGGAAGTGAGGGTACCACTGAAAGTGCAAAGGGGATGTCATTGCCTGCTCCCATCCTTCTAAAAAAGGTTGGAGGGTCGGCCATGTCCACAAATACTCGGGGACTTTGTTTAATGTCTCATCTGAAAGAAAGGGTGCAGCGCCGTCCTCCTGTGACAGGGTGCCAAGTCCTAGGACCCCGAGTGGAGAGACAAGAGCTATTTTTGCTGATTCAGCCTGGCAGCCAGACCAGATCATAGACTCATAGACTTTAAGGTCAGAAGGGACCATTATGATCATCTAGTCTGACCCCCTGCACAGTGCAGGCCACCCCTCTTAGAATAATCCTCTCACCTATATCTCAGATATTGAAGCCTTCAAATACTTTGAAGACCCCAAGATGCAGAGAATCCTTTAGCTGTGATCTATACCCCATGCTACAGAGGAAGGCGAAAAACCTCCAGGGCCTCTGCCAATCTACCCTGGAGGAAAATTCCTTCCCGACCCCAAATATGGCGATTAGCTAAACCCTGAGCATGTGGGCAAGACTCATCAGCCAGACACCCAGAAAGTTCTCTATAGTAACTCCTATCATCCCTCCAGATGGGCCTGATGAAGTTCAATACAGAAGTACAGAGGGTTTGAGAGTTTGAGGATCTTGCTGTGGAAGAAGAAACTAGGGTGAAAAAGCTTCTTCAGGAGAACAGCCACGCTCAAGAGAAAGCTTAGCTCCGATGTAGGGTTTCTTGTTTTCCAGGTTAGCTGTTAGTCCCTGGTGGGTGCATGCTGCGCTAGAAGCAGGGTACGGAGCCGTAGAGCCATGTCACAGCCTTATCTCAGTTCTGGAAAGCACCCCCTAGTTAATCAGCAACACTGGACACCTGGGTGGTGCTCGGGCATAGGCTACGCAGGGCCTTGCCTGTGGGAGCTGGACTAGCACTGGAAACCCTTCTCCTGGGTTACATGGGAAACAGCCAGCTGCAGCATACGATTTCCAGAGACACATCCAGAGGTGCAGATCAGACTCTCTCTCGCCGTGCGCTGCACATGGGTTGTGCAAGTCTCTGTCTGCAGCCCTGCTCCCGGCTTACTGGCACTGCATTTACAGACAGGAGGCTGCCTAATGCATGAATCCAGCTGCTTTCTTGCTGTAGTTGCTGGCCTGACATCGTGCGCTTGTTTCTGACTCCACATGTTTCCCTCTTGTCTTGTGTTTCTTTTCTGTGCAGGGGATGCTCCTTTCTGTACTCCGGAGCAGTATAAGGAATGTGCCGAGCCTGCCCTGGGTTAGTACGCGGAGGGTTCTTGGGCTCCTTGTGGGTGCTGGCTGGCCTGTCTCTTTGCTGAGTATAATGACTGTGTCAGACACCCCGAGCTGCCTGTAGCCTGCCCCGCCCTGGGTCAGGGTTAATCCAGTAGAGGCAGCACAGGGACAGTCGAAATGTCCATGCATGCAGGCTCTTCCCTTTGGGGAAGAGATCCTTTGTTCTGCGTTTGTACCCCACCAAGCACAGTGGAGTCCTGGCACTACCGTAATATGCCTAATAGTGCAGGGCCAAGCACAATGGGGTCCTGGTCCATGAGTGAGGCATCTTGGTGCTACCATAATACGCCTAAGCACAAGACAAATGCATAGCAGCTGATACAATGGGGACCTGATCCCAGAACTGGACTGCAGGGCACCACTCCAATACAAATAACAAATAGTAAAGGGGATAGGCTGGGCCAGAGCTATGCCCCCCATATCCCAGGGCACAGCACTTCCCACTCCAGCCCAGCCCAGCCCAGAGCAGAAGCAGAAGCAGAAGCAGCTGCTTTTTTCCTAGACATGTTACTAAAAGAGGACTTTCTGCCCAGCCCCGCCACAATGTTCAAGCTGCGTAAATAGTATGCCAGGACTTATTAAAATGGCCGGGGAATGCAGGGCCCCAGGGACTTTCACAGCATCTTTGCCCAGCGACAGCTGCTGTTGCTTCCCCAGGCCTCCTAATGGACAGATGGAAATAACAGGATAAAAACGTCACGTCCTGGAAGGGACGGGAACGTTACTGATCTCTGGTGAGAGGGATTAGTTTAGAGGGAGGGTGGGTTATTCATCACCTGCATAGCTTTGCAGGCTCTATGATGTTCTGCACAGCCTTTCCTTGACTCCTTCACATCTGTATGCATAAACCACACCAGAAACCACACAAGACGGGGTTTGGTCAGTCCCAATGCAGAGGAAGCAGAAATCACGTCATGGGAACTAGGACGACTGAGCCGGACCTGATATGTTCTGACCCCTAGGAACTGAGAGAATTCACTGGTTTACAGAGACCTGTTGCTCCATAGCTAAGTGTTCAGTGGATAAGCCTCTACACACACCCACATACACTCTCTCTCTCTCTCTCTCTCTCTCCTGCAACATCTGTGTGTTTGGACAGACCTAGCACAATGGGGTTGTGTTCCATGCCTGTGGCTCCTAGCTGTTATCACAGCACAACTAACAAACAATAATCTTTGTTATTTTCTGGGATCCCTGTGGTCAACTGAGCAGCAGTGATGGGCTGACTAGAGTTTTTCCATCGTTTTCTCTCTTGTACCAACTTCATGGCTTCTTTCATCTTTAAACCATTTTTGTTCTGTGCCCTGCTTTGCCGTGTCAGCCCAATGCATGCTCAGCGCCATCTCTGGTTTCTTCCTTCACTTGTATTATCCTGCATTGTATCTCCTCCAGGACCATTCTTGACATGTGTCCAAACCGCTGCATTTGTCCTATTTGAAGCTCTGCAACAGCTTTATTTCTTGCCCTGGGTGTTTTAATCTCTTCTTTTTTCATTTTCCGCTGTCTTGAAATTCTCGCTCTTCCCCTCAGCCACTTCATTTCAGCAGTCGAAATCTGTCATTCACCGCTTCCCTCCCACCTCAGCACTGCGACCCAGACAGCCGTGTCAGTGTGACACTTCTGCGTTTGCGGAAATGACAGGAGCCTTCCAGCTGTCGCCGAGTTTCCTGAATGCAATAGTGGCAAGTCCACTTCTTTTTATGCCATCTTCACAATCTCTATTCTTTGATACTGGTCTTCAAGGCACAGCCCTTTCCCCACCTGCCGTAGCCCTTTGCCTCCAAGTTTGAGCTTTGCCTGTCTCTGGTTCTCTCATTATTGTCATTTGGTCTTCTCCAATCCAGATTTTTCTGCTTCCCTGGCCTTCCTTGTCTGTGAATCCTCCTGGGTCCATGCTGTGTGGCCAGTATCCGTGGCTAAGTGCTGTTCTCCCACAGAACATGACTCCTCCTGTCACACACTGCAGTGCTCAGCCATCCATCAGCCTCCAATACCTGGCTGTACAAATCTGGGCATAGAATCCATTCTTGTCTCACATCCGTGGCTGTCCCGAACCTTTTCATCAACTTCAGAGCTACTCTCACCACCCTCATCTACAAGCTTCACATGTTTTAAAGCGACTGGGACTTTTCAGTTTAGAAAAGAGGAGACTGAGGGGGGAGATGATAGAGGTCTATAAAATCATGAGTGGTGTGGAGAGGGCTGATAAAGAAAAGTTATTTATTAGTTCCCTAAATAGAAGAACAAGAGGACACCAAATGAAATTAATGGGGAGCAGGTTTAAAACTAATAAAAGAAAGTTCTTCTTCACACAGCGTGTAGTCAACCTGTGGAACTCCTTGCCAGAGGAGGCTGTGAAGGCTAGGACTATAATAGAGTTTAAAGAGAAGCTAGATAATTTCATGGAGGTTAGGTCCATAAAAGGCTATTAGCCAGGGGATAGAAATGGTGTCCTTGGCCTCTGTTTGTCAGAGGCTGGAGAGAGATGGCAGGAGACAAATCGCTTGATCATTGTCTTCGGTCCACTCTCTCTGGGGCACCTGGTGCTGGCCACTGTCGGCAGGCAGGATACTGGGCTAGAAGGACCTTTGGTCTGACCCAGTACGGCCGTTCTTATGTTCTTATGTTTTCTACTGGCTTCATCAGTGCTTCAGGGGGCCAGACATTCTCAGAACTTATCACAAGCCTGTCAGGCAAATTCTATCAAAAGCCCATGTGAAGTCTATAAAGCTGTTATGGCAGGTTTGCTTGTGTTCTGTGTAATTCTCTGCTACCCGTCTTATCACAAATAACTGATCTATTGTATTTCCTGGCTAGTCCCTCCAAAAGCGCCACTTCCCTGTTCCTCTGCGGTATGGTCCTGGTGAATGCTTCCATGGCACACTCCATGAGCGGATTCCTCTGCAGTTCTCTCCTTTTTTGTAGATCAATATTAGAGTTACTGTCTCCTGTTTGCTAGGTACCTGCTCAAGTTTATAACCCTGCTTGAGTAGCTTAACCTACGGGCAGCAGCTCTGTAGCTGCCTTGTCACTTCTCAGCCCCCTTTTGTTTTTCAACATTTCTATCAAGAGCTTAGATTCTCTTCTAAGAATTCTGGCCTCTGGGTCTCCCTCATTTGTGCTGGGATTATTCTGCCAATCGGCTGCCTCTCCTGTGTTCTGCTCCTGGTACGGCTCTTCAGAGTATTCTTTTCATCACTTATTCTTTGCTTGCTCGTCCTCAATTATTTGCTCGCACTTGTCTTTCTCCACCGACATCTACAATTCATACATTCAATACAACTCAATTCTCTTATCTTGTGATGCAGTTCACATTGCCTGTTCTTCACCTGCTTTATATTGTTCGCTTACCGAGTTGTTTCCATCTCTCTTCACCTTCAGTTTTATCGTAGCTGAGTCTGTTGCATTCAGCTCTGAGACTTACCTCCTTCTTTTTAGTCTCCTGAAGTTTCCTATGCTTGTCGTTTAACTGCTGTTCTTCCTTCGTTATCCTCCTTGGCCTGGTAACTATAAATGTGTTCAGCTCCCACATAATCCCATTTTTACACTGTTCCTTGCTCTTCAGTGTTCATTTCTTCATTCACCACAGATGTGAGGGGTTTTCCAAACATTTGTTACTACTCTCTGGTTCTTCCATTTGCCCATGTCGTAGATCTTAGTTCTTGGCACGTTTCAGAGTCTCTCAGCCTTCTCAGACTCCGTGGATGCCAGCGCTAACCCCTGATCTCGTCTGATACCAGCCTCCAGTGATCTGCACAGCCGCATGCTTGATTTCCATCTGTGATTCACAAGCCCAAAGTCTACCACAGGGCTATGGCCACCTCCTCTGCAACTTTCTTAGCGGAAACAGCACATTTGTTGTCAGCTGAGTGTTGCTTAGACAGGAGCTCTGTAGCCTTTCTCTCTTCTGTTTTCTTCAGCTAATCCCAGTCTGCCTACAGCTCCAGAAGAGGAGTGCCAGGCTAAGACACTTCCCCATGACAATCCCGTCACCATAACATGTCTTGTCTTACTGTCTGGAGAGTTACAGCTCCAGAAGAGGAGTGCCAGGCTGAGACACTTCCCCATGACAATCCCGTCGCCATAACATGTCTTGTCTTATTGTCTGGAGAGCGTTCCAAAATGTGCCATGTTCTTCCCTGGGTGCTGCTGAGGCTGGCATGTGTATTTGGGCTACCAGAGCTGCATGAGGTTTGATTCTGAATCGCACATCAGCACGTGAGCAGACAGCATGTTCAGTGCCATAGGAGCCTGGCGTGGCTTCTTTGACTGGAATGCAGCTCCATCCTGGTGTCCACCATCAGGCGTCAGTATCCCACAGTCATGAGGGAAAATCACCTTTTGCTCCAGAAACCAGCGATTTCCCACTCGTGTCTGTTCAGCGTGTGCATTTTAACTACAGTCCCTCCAGTGCGATAACTGTTCCCCCTTCCATGGTCCAGTGCACACCTTACCCTGTGGGTTCATGGCGGGATGCTGTGTTGCATGCTGTTCTCTTTGTGCATGTTTGCTGCTGCCTCGGCGTCTGGGCAGTGAGCGCAGCCCTTGTTTGCATGGGTGATAACCAAGCTGGCCGCTTTCCTTTGTCTTACCCTTTGTCATTCACTTTCTGTGGTCTCCATCTGTTGGCTCCTTGGCTTTGTGGTTGACCAGTTTATCATAATCCACCTGCAACAAAGCTCTAAGCTACCCACTAGCCTGCCCCATCACCGCTTTCACAGTATTATATTTTGGGGGCATGTCCACACAGCAGTGTTATTTCGGAATAACTGACGTTATTCTGAAATAACATAGTCCACGTCTACACTACAAACTGTTATTTCGACATAACGTCAAAATAATGTCGAGCTGGAGGACTTCTTACTCCGCCTCCTGTAACCCTCATTTCGCGAGGAGGAAGGGAAGTCGGAGGACGAGCGCTCTGCCTCGGACTTCCAGCTGTGTAGACAGCACCAAAGCCGAAATGAGCTATTTCGACTTCGGCTACGCAATTGACGTAGCTTATTTCGGCTTTAGCCCCGCTGTGTGGACGCCCCCGGAAGATGCTGTGCCAGGTTCACCAGAGGAGATGTGGTGCACTTGGGGACCAGATGTGTCCTTCTGCTGCTCACTAGGGTTATCGTATCAGCAGAGGCCAGGTCTCAGGGCGTGTTGTGACACAGCAGGCCCTTGGAAACACCATGGAAGATGTCAGCTGATTCTTTCACAAAGAACCTTACCTGGGACACAGAGCATGGGCCTGTGAAGAATTTCAGCACATGCCTCGCTAGCTATATAGTCTGCGGCTGCGATGCACTGAGGCACCTGGTAGCGAGGTGTGTGTTGGAGCAATCCGTACAGATAAGATTGACTGTGAAATGCCAGCTCTTTGCATGGCCACATTGTTATTAACAGTGCATCCAAGCTGTAAGGCTCATAGGAGGAATATTAAATACAGGACTATGTAGCACTTTAAAGACTTAAGATGGTTTATTAGATGATGAGCTTTCGTGGGCCAGACCCACTTCCTCAGATCAAATAGTGGAAGAAAATAGTCACAACCATATATACCAAAGGATACAATTTTAAAAAAATGAACACACAGGAATATTAGTCCCTTAGCTGAACATTTCCATACTGTTTAATCTCTTTTAATTGCCATGTAACCTACCTCTAAGGACATTTTAGTCAAAAGCAAAGGATAGAAATAAAGGGCAAAATTTTCTCAGGTACCTAAGCGATTGAGGAGCCTGTGTCTTTTCAAACGGTTAAGCTCTTGAGGCCATAGTCTAAAGGCATTTAGGTGATTAAAGACCTAGTAGTGTACCAAAGGGCGTTAGGTACCAGCACAGGTTTAAAATACCACTAGGCACCTGCCTACATCCTTAGACACATTAATACCTTTAAGGGACCATGATGGCACTGCCCTGGCGCCACAGCGATGCTGCTGTATCCCCGGAGTGTAGCCTCACAGCCCGCAGCTCCGCAGGGAGAGCCAGGGTGTCAGAAGCTTCTTCCACTGGCCGTGCTGTGCCCGTGTGGGAGACAGCTGGCGAAGTGGTGGGAGACAGCTGGCAAAAAGGTGCTGCTCAGGGTATGGACTCCCCCCCCCCCCCCCCGTGATGTCGCTATGGCAACCTGCCTTTTTCAATATAGACCAGGCCTAAGCCACTTTGGAAAGTGGGGCGGAGGCTCCGAAGCCACTTAGATGATTTAGAAGATTTCACCCACCGTCTTCAAGACCCCATCCCTCCAGTCAGGCTTTTACCCCCTTGGACTGCCCCAGGGTGGAGCCCAAACCTGTGTGACATTGCACCTGCAGGCCCCCGTCCATCCCGGGGAGGGGGCGTCTGTATCTCCAGGCTGGGAGGGATGACTGTAGTGGAGGAGGGGTGGGTTGAACTCTGCTTGTTCAGCCCTTCCCTGGCCAGAGCTGCCTGCCCCTTGCTGCAACTCTTTGCTTTGAATCATCAAGGAGAAAGGGCCCATCCTATGTCCCAGGGGTGCCAGGCCCATCCATTGCCAGCGTTGGGGGGCAGGGCTTGAACCCTGGAGCTCTGGCTACCTTTTCCCTACGCCACTGCAGACCCCCCAACCTCCCTGTATTCCGGGCCCTGCCTTCTCCTTCCTGTTGCCGTATTCGGCCTCTGCTTGTGAGAGGGGACGTTTTGCCTCTTAGAGGCACCCGGGGGTGGAGTGTGATTGCCCCAGGCCTCTGGGTGGGGTCTCCATAGGCCTGCTGATGGGGGGCGGACAGACGCAGCAATTACCCTGGGGCCCCCCCCAGCCACTGCTGCCATGGCAGGGGCAGTGCCCAGAGATCCGGGCCCTTCCAGGCCCTGGGCTGCTCTAGGGTGGGGGACACGGCTCCGGAGGGCTGTGCAGGGCAGTGGGGGTTGGTGTTCAACCCCTGTCCTGGCTTCTCCCTGAGACCTGCTTCCCTCTCCTGTTTGCAGATTTGCTTGCGGAAAAGGACAGCAATTACTGCATCTGCAGGATGCCCTGTAACCTGACCAGGTACAACAAAGAGCTCTCCATGGTGAAGATCCCCAGCAAGACTTCAGCCAGATACCTGGAGAAGAAGTTTAACAAGTCTGAAAAATACATCTCGTAAGTGCGGGTGCTGCCGGGCCCCCTTTCTCAGGGGTGGTTGTGTGAGTGGGCGGAAAGGGCAGATGGGACGGCTGTGGCCATGCAAACTAGGGGCCAGGAGATCTCACTTCGGTTCCCCTTGTGCTGTTGTCATTGGGCAAGTCACTTCCCTGCCCACCGTTTGCCTCATCTATGTAGCCGGGACTGTCCCAGCCCCGGGGGTCGCAGGTCTCTGTTGGGATTGTCCTACAGGCACTCGTGAGAGCTGGCTGCAGTTCACATTTTCACAGGACAGTTGACAGTAGAGGGCGCTCTAGCTCAGGGAAGTTTCTTTGCCCACAGGCTAAACACTTGCCCAGGACCCGGGTTCAAATCCCAGCTCTGCCGGGAGCGTCCTTTGTGACCTGGTCCAGCTCAACGAGGTAGTTCTCTGTCTATACAGTGTGAGGTGCTCAGGCCACGGTGGCCAGTCACGCACGATGGCTGTTTCCTGAGTGAACAGCACCTGTCAAGCATGGGCCAGCTGGTGTCAGGCTAAAACCCTCCTCTGCTAACACTGCCTTCTGGCTGCTTCTTCCCTGTGGACTGAGTGGCTACGTCCAGAAATGCTTTTAACGGAAAAGTTTTCCGTTAAAAGCATTTTCGGAAAAGAGCGTCTAGATTGGCACAGACGCTTTTCCGCAAATTTTAGCCTTCGCCATTTTAGCCATCGGGGCTTTTTTGCGCAAAACAGCACTGTGCTGTCTACACTGGCCCTCTTGCGCAAATGATTTGCTCAAGAGGGCTTTTGCCCGAACGGGAGCAGCACAGTATTTCCGCAAGAACACTGACAATCTTACATGAGATCGTCAGTGCTTTTGCGGAAATTCAAGCGGCCAATGTAGACAGCTGGCAAGTTTCTCCACAAAAGCGGATGATTTTGCAGAAAAACTTGCCAGTCTAGACACAGCCCTCGTCTTTTGCGTGGAGTCAGGGTGTAAAATCCTAGGCTCCGCACTCAGAATGGCTAGTCAAGGTCCACCCTCTGCCTGGGCTCCCTTAGCTTTGCAACCAAGATTGCTGTGGCGACAGGAAAACCACCCCGCTCCCTCAATGTCTCGGAGGTCTGGGCCCAGCCGGTGGGTTCTACAGGGCGGCTGGGCGGGATCACAAGTGGGATGGACCAAAGAAGGAATTGGACTCTGCTCCTGGGCCCAGGCTCCGTATGGGAACACCAGCAGAGATCCCATGTGCTGAGAGTCCTTCTCTTGCCAGCTGGGGCCACCGGGCCCTTTCCGCAAGAGAGAGGAGCAGTCAGGGTTGGGAGACTCTGGAAAATAGCCCTGCTCGGCCCCACGGCCTGGGCTGGATGCAGGAGTCTCTGGGGAAGGCTCTTTGGCCTGCGCTGTACAGGAGATCAGACTAGAAGGGCATGAAGGCCCCAGCTTTTGCATCTCTGACGGTGGGATAAGGCTGGTGGGTGCCGAGACAGAGCAGCAGGCACACTGGGGGAGGCAGCAGCAGGGCTGGTGGTCTCACAGATTTCTCCTCTTCCTGCAGGGAGAATATTCTCGTGCTGGATATATTTTTTGAAGCACTCAACTATGAGACAATTGAGCAGAAAAAAGCCTACGAAGTGGCAGCCTTACTTGGTAAATGAAAATGTGATTCTATAAATTTCTGCCTTGGAATATGAGCTTGTGTGGGTGGAGAAGTGCAGGTGGTGGTGTATATGTGCAGGAGAACTGGAGGTGCATGTGCACATTCAGGAGAGGTGGATGTGTGAGTGTGCATGTGCAGGGGAGGTGGAGGTGTGCGTGTGTGCATATGGGAGAGATGGAGGGGTGTGTGTGTGTGTGCACTTACAGGAGAGCTGGATGGGTGTGTGTGTGTGCGCTTACAGGAGAGCTGGAGGGGTGTGTGTGTGTGTACGTGCATGTGCAGGAGAAGTGGAGGTGTGCATGTGAGTGCAGGAGAGTTGGAGGTGTGCGTGCACGTATGCGGAAGAAGTGCAAGTGTGTGTGTGCAGGAGAGGTGGAGGGGTGCATGTGTGTGTGGGAAAAGTGCAGATGTATGTGTTAAATGTGAGATAGTGTCCATTATCTTTCGAAAAAGCAGATTGCTTTTTCGATGCACTTTTGTGTGTGGATGCTCTCTTTTGGAAGAAGTTTTCGAAAAAAGGTTCTTCTGAAAGAAGCCTGCAGTCTAGACATAGCCTCAGTGTGTGGGTTACACATGTGAACATGCAGGAGAGGTAGAGGGGGGGTGTGTGTGTGTGCAGGAGAGATGGAGGTGTATGCATGTGTGTGTGCGCACGCACGCAAAAGAGATGGAGGTGTGCATGTGCGGGAGAGGTGGAGGTGTGTGTGTGTTTGTGTGCAGGAAAGGTGGAGGGGTGTGTGTGTGTGTGTGTGTGTGTGTGTGTGTGTGTGTGTGCAGGAGAGGTGGAGGTGTGTGTGTGTTTGTGTACAGGAAAGGTAGAGGGGTGTGCGTGTGTGTGTTTGTGCAGGAGAGATGGAGGGTGTGTTTGTGCAGGAGAGGTGGAGGCGTGTGGGTGTGCAGAAAAGGTGGAGGGGCGTGTGTGTGTGTGTGAGTGGGAGAGATGGAGGGGTGTGTGTTCAGGAGAGGTGGAGGGGTGCATGTGTGGGGGTGTTGGTGTGTGCGCAGGCTGAGTGAGCACACATTTTGCTTGTCACTGGCGTGGGATGCGGATACCAGTGCGTTGCCGGGGATTTGCCACCTCATGGACTATGGCCCTTCTCTCTGTCCATGGGCTGGGGTGCTCACTCCGGCTCTCGGCCTGCAGAGGGTCCCTCCGTCACACTCCCCCTCCTGCCCCGGCGGGATACCATGTCCCAGCAGACAAGCAGGCTGGACTTTCCTCCCCTGCCTGCTACTCCGGGTTCCAGCCTAGGGCCTGTGACCAGCACCTACAGCCCTGCGCCGTCTGAGACCCAGTTACTGGTTCCCTGGCTCCTCCCTGCACAGCGGCTCTGTCTCCTGACCTGGCCCTGGGCTCGCTCCCCAAGGCTCCTTCTCCCCTCTCAGCCTCTTGCCAGACCCTCCAGGGCTCACGCTCCTCCTGCCTCTCCTTGTGCCTGGCCAACTCCCTCTGCCCCGTGGCAGTAGCTGAGGCCCCGCCGTGCACTCGCTTCCTCCCCAGCTCTCCGCCGCGCCATGCAGATTCCTCAGCCATTCGCCCCTCAGTGGCCCTAGCGCCCCTCCTGGAGCCGTGTCCCACGTGACGGTCCCTGCTGGCTCACTCAGCCCTTGCATGGCATCGCCCCCCGTCTCTGGCTTTCCTGTCACCAGGCCTGGTCTGGGAGCAAACCCCACAGGGGAGAGGAACGGACGCTCATCCGTGATTGGCCAGCAGGGCTGACCCATCTGTGCTGCCTGTACGTGCTGCACCAGCCCCGGTAGGACAAGAGCTGAGCACAAGCCCCATGGTCGTTTACAAGAGCTCTGGGCACTTGCCAGGTCTGAGCGAGACCAATAGCTCCCCCCTTACAAAGCAGCTGGTGGGGTCTTTAAAGAGCATGTGCCCATCCGGGCTCAGTGTCATGTCACCTCCAGCTGACAGCAGCCCCCAAAGAACTGGCCTTTCCTTGAATGGCTCCCATCCAGGCATTAAAGCAGCTCCCTGCTGCTTACTTAGCAAGCGCTAGCGGGCTCCAGCATTCCCCGGAGGCTGCATACTTGTGCAGCCACTAAAGGAAGAGTAAAATGCTGCCCAGCTTAGCAGAGCCACACAGCGACCTGGCCCTGGTCTACTGGTGGTGCACATTCACATGTGCCTTAGTGCACATCAAATTATTCCGCCTGCAGGTGGAAAAATTCCGCCCAGGGATGGAGAACATTGATGGTGAGCTGAGTGTCAGGCGCGGCTGGGGCTCGTTGCATTGTTGGTGAAGGCTGAGGCCTTGCTCCTCTCCCTCACACTCATCCAAGGCTCCTTTTATCAACTGGAATCTTCCGTCCACTTTTTCTAAGGGATTCCAGTTCCTCCACGTCCCACCCGCCATCACGTCAGGCCAGGAGTTCTCATGGCTCCTCTCCACCTCCATCCCTCCTCCTCCCAAGTCTCGCACTCCTGAGGCTGCAGTGGAGCTGGTACCCTGCCCGGGCTGTCTGTCTGCTGCCCACACTTAGCACTGCACGCCCCAGGGCAGGGCCAAAGCAGAGCGAGGCTGGCAGTGGAACCTGCTTCAGTCCAAAATCCTGGGGAACCCACGCTCCCGGCAAAGGCAGATGATGCAAGGCCAGCCAGAGATGAGTGGCTCTCCGTATGTCTCCTGTATCTGAAAAGTGCCTCTCTGAGCGTGTGCAGCCCCCTGTCCATCCAACGATCCAGCCTGCAATTAGGATTCCAGATCCCTTGCGTCTGGGGAGGCAGACAGAGCATCTCACGGGCAGTCTCTAGGAGGAGGTGACAAGTCAGCGCGTCAGACTGAAACGGGAGCTGGAAAAGGTGACGGCTCGACAGCAGGAGCAGGCAGCTCTGCCGAGAGGTCTCCCTTGCCCCCAGGAAAGCTCTGTTCCAAGAGCAAAGCCAGCTCAGTCGACGGGTTGGAGCTCCGTCTCCGGAGCAGCCTGCACCATCTGGGGCACATGCAGCATCTCGCCCAATGAGTCGCCTTTGCCTGCAAGCCCTGGAAGTCTCTGTTCCCAGCAGATGGGTCCCTCCCACTGGCACTGGCAGCATGTTAGGTGCTCGGCTCCGTGTTCAAAGGTTCGGCTGGAGCATGCGAACTCCGGGAGCTAGAACTTCAAACGCTGCCTGCGCCAATTTCTATGAACATTACTAGGGACCTGCCAAACTCACAGCCACGGAGAACACAGCCTGGGCCTGGACCTCTGACCCCTGCGAAATGTGGCACCTGCAGGGGGGTCATCGCCCCCGATTGTTCCTTCCTAAGTGGAGCACTGTTGGACGGGCACCCAACATTGAAGGTATCACCACTGCCAGCAGCACAGCCATGAGGGTGGCATGGTATGAGGAGGAGAGGGCTGGTCTTATGGATGGGCAACACACACACCCCCCACCTCTCCCACACGTGTATACACACACAGATACATACACATATATACCCCCCCACACACACACACACACAGCTAGCCCCCGGCCCCTTTAAACCTGAGTGATGGGCCTAGAGCTTTCCTAGCTCTGCCCCTTCTGGCTGAGGTCCTGCCCCTGCCACCCAGGACCCTGTGGGGGCCAAGCACCCATCCGCTGTAGGGCAGGCCCCCCTTCTCCACAGGGTGGTATATGGCCCCAGCCTTCTCCTCCAGCCTGAGAGCAGGGGGAGATCAGGCGTCGTGTGGCCTCAGCCTTCCCTACCCCGGCTGCAGCACTGGGGAGAGAGAGGGTGGGCAGTGTTGGGCCCAAGTCTCCCTAGCCCATGGAGAGCTGGTGGGCCCCCCAGCCTCCATGGGGCTGAATCCCAGACAGCCCTGGGGGAGACGCTCTGAAGAGGGGCCAGTGTGTGGGCAGAGCCAGGTCGGCCTCTTGCATCCCGGGGCTCCATTCCGGGGGAGCAGGGCAGGTCTGGCACAGGCAGCTTGTGCCGGGCTCCTCTGGGGCTGGACCCTTCTGAGCAAACAGGAATGAGTAATGTGTGTGGGTGCTGCCAGCACTGTGGGTGGGCTCGTCTGCCCCCGTCTGCCAGCGCCTGGCAGCCAGGGGGAG